ACAAACAAATAAAATAAGAAATAAAAAGTGACCAGCCTTCCCTTCCTCCGTGAATTTCCTAGTTGTAAGAAAGAACTCACTCCCAAATGGGTTGCCTAGAAAATTGAGAAATGGGTCCCTTTAGGAAAGATGTGCTTACATTCCATTATAGGTGGGGCACCTACGCCCTGGGCACAAAGAAGCCTCCAGATAGGAGTGGCTTGACCTCAGGCCATGAGGACTGACAGTAACTTTTAGGAGCCTACAAAAATGCCACACACCTTCTCCTCTACCCTGGACACTGAGTCTCACAGGTGGAAAGCTCTTGACTATTGACCAGGGATGGCAGTGACCATTTGTACCTAAACCCTGGCTGAGCTACTTCCCAGTGGTCAATCTCAGAAAATTCATTTACTCTCTCCCCTCTGCCTCCATTTTCCCATACAAAATGGGAATCACCTTGTCCCAGGGCTGTTGAGATTTCTCACAGTAGTTTAAAACAGCATCTGGGCTTGGCCTCTTATAAATGGGATGAATATGAATATCTACTTCCCAAAAGTAGGGCCAGAATTAAAGGGTCAATAGAGGAGGGAAGTAGCTCAGAGGTGATAGGATAAATTCCCAGCACTGCAAAATCAAGAATGTTAGGAGTGGCAAAGCCATGGGAACAGGCCAGCACACAGGAGGTATCCCTTACGGCTTGTACCTGATAGTAAACGGCTACTGGCAATTGACAAAAGTTTAATTAATCTGTATTTATGTCTTTACAGTTGAACCCTTCCTCTGAGAAACTTTCCCATTAAGATTTTCCATAGGGCCAGGGAGATGGCTCAGTAGAATAAGCGCTTCCCTGGCAAGCGTAAGTTCCTGAGTTCATTCCCCAGTTCAGGCCAAAAAAAAAAAAAAAGACTTTCCCCTGACTGCTCAGGGGCCCCTCCCCTCTCTTATCACAGCTCAGAGTGAGCCTTTGTGGCCAGGGCCCCCTCCACCACAGTTTAGGGCCCATGACACAGCATCCCAGGAGAAGGACAAGATGAGCCAGACTGCCAGGCTATCCCCACCCAATGGAGACAGATCCTGAAGGCCGTGCAGCTTGGCAAAGGCCATGAACATACTTAAGGACATGAGCTCGAACCCAAACCCCTGAGTCCCTGCTGTTCCACTTGCTTCAGCTAAATCACTTTCTCTCCCTCATAAAATGGGACAAATAACAGCAGCTGCTTCCTAGATTTGTTGCAAGTCTTGAATAAATGAGAGCATGCAAAGCATTCAGAACAATGCCTGGCACACTGGGCTCCATCTTTAGGTAGAACAATACATCCTAGATTGCCTGGCTTAGTACTGTTTTATGCCTGATTGCCCAGCAAATCTTCCATCACTCTTAAAAAGGATTTGGAAGAAATTTGCTATGGAAGAAAATTATATGGCCACCTTAAAATAATTGCCTGCCGCAGTTTAAATTATTATTATTTTCTGCCATACCACACTGAGTCTCCAGGAAGTGAATAGCTTGACTAAAAATAGCTCTGTAATTCAGTACCACCCTTAGATCCAGGTGACAGTGGTCCCCACCTTTTGAACCTCACTTTGGCTCTCCTATGGCTAACTTCTTATCACAGGGAGAGGAGACCCTGGGGTAGAAGGATATGCCCTGGATTTCCTCCACTGGATCACATTATGGGCATCCAGGGCCTTACGGTTCCATACACAAGTAGCCCTGAGCCTATTTCCAGGACACGAGAGGCTTGCTCTGAGCCCCAGCCCCTGAGAATGGACTGTACCATTGGGGCACCCAGCTCAAAGGATAAAGTGACCAAAGGGCAGCTTTTATCGTGGGCAGAAGGATTGGGGAGCAGAGTTTGCATATGCAGGCTGAGCTGTTCCCAAGTGTACACAGGACCTCCTGGGGGCTGCAGAGAGGCAGAATGGGAAGGGTGGAGGACAAACCAGGCACTAGGGGACCCACTTCCTGTATTGCCATGTTCCAGTACAGGGTCCCAGGAGTCAGAAAAGTCTACATCCAAAGGAGGCCTTTCATGTTGTTAAGAAAGTGCATTTGTCAAAGTAGAAGGCTAGAACATATTTTATTTCACATTTTGTTAGCTTGATTTATAACCTGCAAATATTTAGACATATGGTACGTGAACTTCCATCTGTACTCTGCCAGGCTCCACAAATCCCTGCCACCTTCTGCCCAGTCTCAGGGCCAAATGTTTACCGAGCCCCTCCTCTTTGCTGAGCCCTAGTGACTCCTCCGAGGGAAGGGCACCATCCCAGCACTCAACGTGATCAGCTCTGTGCCGGCCAAACTCACGCTCAGGAAACAGGATCCTGGAACCGGGGGTGAGGGCATAGGCCTGGTCCTTGCCTCTGTTCCCTTCCCCTCTTGGCTTTAGTATCCCCGTTTGGACAAGAGGCTGCTCTAGCTCTGTGGGATGCAACCAGGGACACAGTGAAGGACTGGAATTAGGTCAGTGGCCTGGACAGGGTGTGGCTGGCCCTGGGAAGATAACTATTACGATGTACAATCGAGCTCTGCAGAACAGGCACAGGCCCTTGCAGCCTAATCCATTTCATTCGTCCTTCCACAGGGATGGCAGCCACCCACAGTCTCAGGCTCAGAGCAAGGGGCTGGATTTCCCTGGTGTGGGAGGGTAAAAAAACACCACAGAAGACTGAAACACAAAGCAAGACTTGGCAACTGTGCTGCTAAGAGTCCTTCCCTAGGCACCTTTCATCTTCCCAATCCCAGCATGGTAAATCAGCTCCGAAAGGTATGGGGTTTAATCAAGACCTTTCTGCTTCGGGCGCGCCCAGAACTTGTGGCTAGCCAGACCCGAGGTTTCGGGTTCCTGAAGTCTCAGGACACTGTCCCAAGCTGCCCGAAGTTGAGAGGCCCCGTCCAGCTCCCGGAAGGCTGGAAGGAGGTGAGCGCCAGGGAGGGCCGGGCCACAGGACACACGGGCTGGGAGGCCGGGAGGGGCCTTGAGGGGGCAGCTGGACTGCATGGAGCGCCACAGTGCCCAGCCTGGACGCCAGAGCGCAAGCGTCCGCGTGAGCGCGCCGGAGGCAACCGCACTTCGGTCAGTTCACCGCGGCGGGGCCGGGATCTGGGCTCCTCGGCGCCAACGGGGGCCGGGGGCGCGGTGAGGATGGGGCTGCAATGCCCGACGCTGCGGGCTGGGGGAGCTGTGCCCGACTGTCCCCAAGGTCCGGGCGGGGACCAGGCAGCTGGGGCGCCAAGCCGCTCACTCGGTCCAACTGGGAGACGCTTGGCCGTGCATGCCTGGGGCGGGCTCCGGCCCCAGTCTTCCCGGGGTCCAGCCCGGAGAGGCCCCGGGAGAAACCGGGTTCCACGGGCTAGGCGGGCGCTGCCTCTCCGACCCGCCCCCGGGGGTGTCCCGGGCCGCTGGACCCGCCC